CGTCATGACTTTTCCAATGACCCAATATATCTTATACGCCACTATATCCATATTAAGTTTGAGTGTGATAATGATACTGTGGTAATGCAGGGAAATGTTGTTCTAAATATTTAGAGGTGAAGTGCCATGTCTGTACTTGCTATTGCTTTCACAAAGGCTCTGAAGAAAATGCACGCATATGTAGAGTGGGATAAAGTAAATGTGAGAAATGTGTAACAATTAGTAAATCTACGCAAATGCTAGATGAGTGGGGTGCTCACTATAAGACTCCTTCAATTTTCTGTAAGTCTGAACATTTTCAAAATAAAAAGGTTAAAAAAGAAAAAAACGTACTTAATGCCACTGTGGACTCAGGGTGCTTATTGGGCAGACCTGAGTTCTCGAGTGCTCAAGACGGTAATCAGCTGGTTCAGAATTCCGGCACCCTGTGTCATTTATTTCTGATTAACAATAAATGCCTGCGCGGTTTCAGGGAGGCAGTGTGGTAATAATGAGGCATTTAACAAGAGACTAATAAATTCCTACACATTCATAACCTGTAAGCTAGAATTCTTACATCTTTAAAAGGAGTAAGGTATATCTATATAAACCATCAAATGGTCCAAAACACACTGACTGAATAAACTAGGCAGCAATATAGGAGAACATGATTCCTTTTTTATAAACATTATATAAATCATTGGTCCAGCCATGGTGGTGCACATCGCAAAGACCTGTGCTGGAACTACATGAGAGGTGTGGGTTCAATTCCTGGTTTAAACTAAAGGCCAAGGGCAATGATGTGCACCTGTAATCTCTCAAGAGAGTGAGGCAGGACGACTGTAAACTCAAGGCAGGCCTAGGTAAAAACAGGATCTTGATGCACCTAGACTTTGTTTAAAACACACACACGCGCACACACACACACTCTCGCTCTCTCTCTCGTGTCAAATTAAATAATAGTAATAAATTATTAATTAAATAGTTGTTTAGACAAAAATTTTTTAAAAAAAAAAAGAAAACCTGCCAGGTGAGCACCCAGGTTCCCAGGATTCGGAGTAGCTGAGAGCTAAAAAAGGAGATGGCAGTGTGGCAAGACCCTACTGAGGGTGCTATCTTACGTGTGTACGTGTGTGCATGCGCACGTTTCTAATAAAAATATATGTAGATTACAGGCAGCATTAATAAATTATTATGTATATTACAGGATGTAGCAAAAGTTTATAGTTACTTTCCTTTTCTCTATTGCATTTGCATATACTGCCTTTATAATAGATTAAAAACATTAAGAGATACACACAAATAATTACCCAGGGTAAGGTTCTATCAAAGCCCCAGCAGTTAGGTATCCTTCATTTCGGCTCGGAGGTATAAGGCAGATGCCAGATGCAGGGATTCTTTCATCAAAATTATGGGCAGTATTTTTTGTCAGATGTCAAAAGAAAAAGACAGTAATGAACTACCAGAACATGGCCATAATTCACTAATTCATCTATTAAATACACATTTACAACCAGCAGTTGGCGTAATGACTATGTTGCTGGACTCCCATCTAGTCTACTGTGGTTTGAGTCCCAGACCCGGTGGCTTAAACTCATACCAGGTGCGTGTGTGTGTGTGTGTGTGCCCAAGATCGCAAGAGGAAGATAGAGGAGAAGGGATTGCGGCGTGACCATCCCCCCTTGGGAGGGGGTGATTTCTCGCTTTCTGGCTCTCTGTCTCTTTCTGGCAAGCGCATGCACCCCATGGGGGGGGGAATAAAACACAAAACCTCTCTCCTCCCCCCCAAAAACACACACACACACACACACACACACACATTTACTCAAGGCAACTTTGTACTTAGTACTGCAGATACTGAAGTGAATAAAATACAGACTCTACCCTCAAGGAGTTCACAGTCTAACTGGAGGTACCACACAACTAAACCATTAACCCAGAAAGAGCATAATGAGTATTAGAGATGTGATGTTTGAGGCCAATAAGCAAGATGCTAAGAGGGATACGCAACAAAAAGCCAAAATGCGCTGGGAAAACACGCTGAGCACACCTTCAGTGTATTCAGACAGGCTACGAAGTAACAGAACACCCAAGGTTAGAGCAGACCCACACAATGGAATTTACTCAGATACATTTAAGTAAAGAAATGTAATAATGTAATTCAGTTCAAATGTTTATCACACATAGACTATGCCAAGAATACTGCCAAAAGCTAAATTACAACACAAATAAAATTCAGTTCCTACACATAAGGTGTACAAAAAAAAAGTAATTCTCTTTCAAAATTAGAAATACGACATCAACTTTTTTTGGTTATATGTGTAATATATAAAATATAACTAATTAGGCTATAACTATGACTTTTCTATTATTTTCTATGCAAAATGCATCATGACTTTTCCAGTGACCCAGTATATAAAACTGTATATAACTGCAGGACCAGCAGAAGGCAAAATGGTGACATCACTGGGCTCCCATGCAGTCGACCACAGTTCCAGTCCCGGACCCAGCAGTTTGAAATTCATGCCAGGCATGTGTGCTCAAAATCTCTAAAGGAGAAAGGAGGAGAAGGGATTGCAGTGTGGCTATTCTCCCTGGGGGATGATTTCTTTCTGACACTCAGTCTCTCTGGTGAGCATACATGTCCTATAGCAAAAATCGCTATTAAAAAAAAAAAAGGGACATATATAATACATATAAATAATATGAAAATCCCATTAACAGGAAGAAAAAGACAAAGACCTAGGAATAATATTAAGGCTACTGTATCTTTAAAATATTTAATTTTGTTATTATTATTTTTTAATTTGATCAGAAAGAGAAAAAGGGAACGTTAGAAAGCAAGCCACCAAGCCTGGGACTCAAACCACAATTGGCCATGTGGAAGTCCAGCGCCTTAACGACTACATCACCTGCCATCCCCATAAGGCTACTATTTATTAAGGATGACTTATACCAGGGATACACTACTGTAAGAAGAATTAAGTACAACCCTTCCTTACAAAGTTGTAAAGCTAGGTTTTAACTTGGGAGTTCTGTTTCCCCCAAGGCTTGATTACGAGAAAAGCATACAGGGCCAGCAGGCGGCACAGTGGTAAAGGGGCCTAGAGCCCACATGGCCAACTGTGCAGTTAAGAGTCCCCACCAACAACTTAAGGAATATTCTAGGCACTAAGAGGAGAATGGAAAAGGGACTACAGCATGGCCACACCCTTCCCCTTTTGGCAGAAGGGTTTTTTTTCTCTCCCTTCCCTTTCTCTGGGGAACACACATACCCTACAGCAAAAAAAAAAAAAAAAAAAAAAAGAAACCTAGAGAAGAGTCCAAACTATTCAGAATAAAAACAATACTGAAAATAGCTCAGACCACAGACATCTAAACATAAGATATATTGATATATACACAAATTTTTGTGACTACAAGTTACATAAAGTTGGTATTTGTTCTAAATATTCAATTAATTTTGAATTAATACAGTCTATCAAGAAAACAAAAAATATGGGGCCAGCAGGTGGCGTGGTGGTTAAGGGCCCTGGACTCCCACATGGCCGACCAGGGTTCGAGTCCTGAACCTGGTGGCTTGCTTTCTCACTTCCTCTCTCTCTCACCCTCTGTGTCTCTCTGGTCAAATTAAAAAATAAATGAATAAGTAAAATAATTATTAAAAAAAAAAAATCCCATTTCTCTACTATCAACAGGATATTTTACATCTAAATCAGGGGTCAGCTAACTACAGCCCCAAGCCAAATCTGGCCCCCTGCCTATGTAAATAAAACAAACATTTTTAAATAAAACAGAAATTTATTTATTGGAACACAGCCTTGTCCACTCATCTGTATATGTCTACTGCTGCTCTCAGTCCACAATGTCAGAGCTGAGTAGTTATGGCAGAGATAGGACAGTTCACAAAAACTAAACTAGGAGCTGGTCTCGTGACCTAGTACTTTAGGAAGCCAGATCTCACAGGGCCAAACCTATAGTTCAAATCCCAGCCCTGGTGTTTGATAAAACACATCAGATGCACATGCCCCAAATCCCAACAGCATGGAGAAATGGAGGAGAAGGAATTATGGCATCAGCATGCCCCATTGTGAGGTACTTACTCCCTCTATCTCTGTCTCTCTCTCGGGAGAGTACATATGCCCTCTGACAATTTAAAAACAAACAAAAAAACCTAGACTGTCTATTTTCTGTTTTTTTTTTTTTTTCTTAAGAGAGATTTTTGCTATAGGGCACACGTGGACTCACCGGAGAAATAGAGAGAGACAGAGAGAGAAAGTGAGATATCGCCCCCAGGCGGATGGCCACACCACAATCCCTTCTCCTCCATTCTCCTCTCAGGATTTTGGGCACACATGTACACACACCACACTTGCGTTATTTTAAGTTACCAGGTGCAGGACTCAAACCATGGTCGACAACATGGGAGTCCAGTGACATAACCTTTATGTCATCTGCTGGTTCCTATTTTCTGATCTTTGACATATAAAGACCCCTGGTCCAAATGAGAACCAAATATAACACAAATGGTAGAAAAAATCATTAGTCTCTTCATTTCAGTCCTGTGTAAGCTTTATTAACTCTACCTAAGTTCTCTCCGTGTCAGTTAGTAAATCAAATGTGGTTCTGAATTTCCAGTTGTGGGAATTCAACATGAAGTCATATTTCCGCTATTTTCCAGAGTCAGCCTTCCTTCAGCTGCCCAGTCATTTATCTTTCACATTATCACAAACAAAATCCTAAGGTATACTTGCAACTATTCTCACACATAATTATCTTTCAATTGTGTACAAAAATACAGACGAAGAGCTGAACACAAAGTCAATCCTGATATGACTTAATTCCTAACACCCTACTCAAACTAGAACATCTCAAAGTGCCATTTAGGGCCAGCATCACTGATGTCACCGACTGCCGGTTAGACACACACATTTACAAGTCCCATTCCAGACTGCCAGGTGATTCTCATGCACATTCACATTCTGAAAACCACTACATTAAACAGAACTTGTATAGCTTACCTTGAGTGTGAAAAGGCTGATTCGGCCAGGTAGTTTATAAAACAGCCCCTCTCCTCCTCTGGAATTGGAATGCAGCATGGCATTGAGGCACGCGAGCGGGGAAGTCCCACTGTGAAACAGGAAAGAACAGGTGCGGGTCATACACGTCCACATTCCTACTTGCTCAAAGACCTAATCCCTCCAACTCATAAATTGAGAAAAAGTGGAATAAGAAATATATAAGAAAAGATCTCTGGGGACCAGCAGTTAGCGTAATGGCTATGTCGCTGGACTCCCATGTAGTCGACCGCAGTTCACGTCCCAGATCCGGTGGCTTAAACTCACACTGGGCGTGTGTGCGTGCAGGCCCAAGATCCCGAGAGGAGAATGGAGGAAAAGAATTGCAACATGGCCATCCCCCCGGGGGATGATTTCTCACTTTCTATCTCTCTGTCTCTCTGTCTGGTGAGCACACATGTCCTATAGCAAAAACCTCTCCAAAAAAAAGAAAATAATCTCATGAAAATAATTCCACTGTGAAAGCAGTTAAGAGTGACCAAATGAAATTCACCCAAGTCACACTCAACAAGCTCCCAGATATGTTATGTGATACCTGAAATCCATACCTAACACTTCATTAGTGCTTTTTGACAATACAAATCAAATTTCAAAAAAAAAAAATCACAAAAACCACAGAATGATTTTTTTTCTACATTTTAGTAAAATTTTCAAAATAAAATTTTAGTGTTATAAAGAGAGTTTTCAGGGCCAGCAGATGGCATAGTGGTTATGTTGCTGGACTCCAATATAGTTGACTGTGGTTCAAATCCTGGACTCAGTGACTTGAAATTCACACCCAGCATGTGTACATGAGTACCCAAGATCCCAAGAGAAGAGTGGAGGGGAAGGGAATGCAGTGTAGCTATCCTCCCTGAGGGGTGATTTCTTACTTTCCCGTTCACTGTCTCTATCTCTGTCTCTCTTGGAAGCATACACCCCAAGGCAAAAACCTCAAGAAAAAAAAATTTTTTTAAGTTTTGTGACCATTTCAACCGATACATCATGCTAAGAAAGTGCCATGTACTACTATCAACACAAAGATCGCAATCAAAAGTGCTATCCCAATAAATCAAGCATACTTTTTTCCCTACTGTAATATTATTTCCTAATAAGCACACCAAAAGAACAGTGCTTCATTTGCTTTTTTCTGTTGAGAGAGGGGAGGATAAATTTTATTTTACATCTAACCAGAACAGTCATTTAACTCTGAATGCAAAAAGAAAGAGAGAGAATGAAAGAATGAGAGAAAGACAGAGAAAGTTAGCTAAATAATTCTTTAAAAAAATACAGCTTTTTTTCTCTCTCTCTTCCTTCTTCCCTCCTTCTGCATTCATGCTGTCCTTCACTTTAGGGAAAAAAAAAAAAAAAAAAAGACGGGGGGGGGGGACGCGGGGGAGGCCAGTCCCATAACCTAGTGACTAAGGGAGCCAGATCCTACATGGCCAGCCACTGTTCAAAACCCAGGCCCAGCAGCTTGAAAAACACAACAGGTCTGTGTGCATGTGAGCCCCAAATCCAAACAAGATGGAGAAATGAAGAAGGGATTGTGATGTGCCCACACCCCACTGGGGGCTGCTTTCTGCATCTCTGGCAAACATATATGCCCTCTGGCAATTAAAAAAGACTTTATGTGTGTGTGTGTGTTTAATATTAACTGAATTTGGTACTAGTATTGTTAGTGCTAGGATTCACCTGTGTGCCTTCACTTCTCTCTCTCCAGTATGTTAAAAAATATACAAGTATCTTCAGCAAAGCCTCTCAGCATTTTTCGGAACTAGAGGCCCTAATTTACACAATGTTAAAAATAAATTCTGAGTCTAAAAAAGTAATTTTGAAAAAACGATTACTTATTCTGCTTTGGAACACACTGGATGCTAAAAAAAATCTCACCAAGAACCAATCTCTAAAAGAAGCCTGTGCAGAAACTGGGGTATCAAGTGGGTGTGCGAGCACCCCGCTGCAAGGGCGAACGCGTGCTGGCAGAGTCCTCCCGTGACTCCTACACACTACCTCGGTCTACAAATCACAGAGCTGCTCACTCATCACTAGCCACCATCACCGCCTCAGAATCGCTATAAGAGCAAGAAGCAGACACAAGTGAGAGTTCTTAATTCCATCTTTCCCAAAGGGACTCATTTACCTTCTATAGGCACAGTGGTCCAACAGCAGTGCAGACAGCAGCGTGATGGGAAATAGCCCATAAAAACAAAAATAAAGCACAATTATAACACTACATAGTACACAGGTACAAGTTACATTAGTGTGATCTAGACGATCCTAATCCTCCCACCCCACAAATACCAAGTCTAGAAATGACCAATGGAAACTGAGGACCTTTTTTGACCTTAAAAAGTCAACCCAAGTAGCTAAAACTTGACCAGAAAAAACATGCTGTTTGTTCTGAGTGCCAAGAAGACACTGTGTTGTGCTCTCCTCTCTCCTCATTCAACAACAACAGAAAGTCGGGAGGAGGTGAGGGTGAGGAGAGAGCAGGATTAAGGACAGTAAAGGGCCCAGTCATGTAGTTCAGGCAGCGGGCCACCAATGCACAAGGCTCAAGCCATACGAAAAGGCCCCCAGGTTTGGATTCTGGGTCAACTTAAGCATGGAGTGTGCACCTGTGATCTTGGCTAGCCAGAGGGACGGGGAGGTGGGGAGGTAGAGCCTGTTGGGTGCCTGTCTGTCAGTCTCTCTCATGAAAGCCATGAATGAATAAATTTTGGAAAGGAAAGCAAAAAGCAAAAGCAAAAAAAATAAATAAATAAAAAAGAAAGAAAAAAGAAAAAGGGCCATACTAGTTTTCATACCTACAATTCTTTCTGTGTACCTAACTTACTGTTTCTCAGCAAAAACTACATAAGAAAGTGAAGGTCACCTCCAAATTTGCTATGCTAGTACCACGAACAGCTATAATAGAATGGGAGGGAGGGCAGTGTGTTTTATGCTAATGTAAACACCCTTCTTTGATCCTGAAAGAAAAGAAAGACAAGAGGCAGTGTACAGAGAGGTGAATTTTAGATACAATCGAGGCTATTAAGGTCTGCTACTTTTCTATGACCAAGATTTGCGAAACAGAGTGTAAGAGAAAATGTGGGCTCAGACAGTGGTGCAATGGTAAAATGGGATGCTCTGTGAGGCAATTCCACACGGGAAGGCTCAGTTCTAGTCCAGAGACCTGCCTCAGTACACCAGGTGCATGCTTGCCCATAATCTGGGGCTGGCTGAAGACTGGGGGTGGATGATGGCATCAGAGCCCTTTGGGAGTGTTGACTCACTTTCTGTGTCTCTCTCAGCCATGGAAGAAACAAACTTGAGAGAGAGAGAGAGAATGTCCTAGCAACTTACGCCAAAAAACAAGCTCTTGTGAAGATTCAAGGGAGATCAAGGATAGGGAAAAGCCACTCGGCCTCTCATGAAAACAGGCGAATGCTCAGCCACGCCCGCCCTCCTTTGAGAAGACACACAGCATGGGAGATAGAGTTCAACACCACGGCTACACACACGGGGCAAAATACACACAGGTGGACTTCACTGCTTAACTGCAGAAAGACACACGGCCTATGAAACCCTCATGGTAAACAAAAGTAATACAAACCTCATTTCCTTCAGTCCTTCTGCCTCTATGACCTGTAGAATCTGTTTTGGTGTCATTGGAGCATCCGAGTAGTTTTCTAACACCTGAAGAAATATAAATGTCCTGAATTCAGTGTGCAGTTTCCAGTTATAAACATCAACTCATATTATGGCCAACAGCTATACTACGAAGTATTAGTGACATCTATGCTAGTGACAACTCCAGTGGTTCCACAGCTAAAATTCCTTCAGAACCCAAATTGTAAATACGTAAGTTACTGAGAGTTACTGCAATTAGTTGGAAAGTTCTAATTTCAATCCTAAGGAAATATCTTCTTACCATACACGTTCATGGTAGACAAAAGCTTAGCAACCCTAGTTATGGCTTAACTTGATGCAATTAAGCTACAAAATGCACAGTGCTACACGACAAACTGTTAAGACAGCCATGCGTTCAGATTCCTTCCCTAAGGGAGTTTGATTAGCACCCTGTAGAATCTGTTTTGGTGTCATTGGAGCATCCGAGTAGTTTTCTAACACCTGAAGAAATATAAATGTCCTGAATTCAGTGTGCAGTTTCCAGTTATAAACATCAACTCATATTATGGCCAACAGCTATACTACGAAGTATTAGTGACATCTATGCTAGTGACAACTCCAGTGGTTCCACAGCTAAAATTCCTTCAGAACCCAAATTGTAAATACGTAAGTTACTGAGAGTTACTGCAATTAGTTGGAAAGTTCTAATTTCAATCCTAAGGAAATATCTTCTTACCATACACGTTCATGGTAGACAAAAGCTTAGCAACCCTAGTTATGGCTTAACTTGATGCAATTAAGCTACAAAATGCACAGTGCTACACGACAAACTGTTAAGACAGCCATGCGTTCAGATTCCTTCCCTAAGGGAGTTTGATTAGCACCCATATTTTTAGTTAATTTTATTTTTTGTTTTTTAGAGAGATTTTTGCTGTAGGGCACATGTGCTCCCTGAAAGACAGAGAGACAAAGAGACAGAAAGTGAGAAATCAACCCCCAGAGGGGATGGTCACCCCGCAATCCTTTCTCCTCCATTCTTCTGGGATCTTGGGCACGGACGCACACATGCTTAGCATGAGTTTTAAACCACCGGGTCTGGGACTCGAACTGCAGTTGACTACGTGGGAGTCCAGTAATGTAACCATTACTCCATCTGCTGGTTCCTATTTATTTAAGAGATTTTTTTGCTGCTATAGGGTACATGCGCTTGCTGGAGAGACAGAGACAGACAGAAAAAAAGAGAAAGAGAGTGAGAAATCACCCCCTAGGGGTGATGGCCACGCCAATCTCTTCTCCTCTCAGTATCTTGTGCGCACACACACACACGGGCATGCGCACATGTGCCGTGCCTGGCATGAGTTTTAAGCTGCTGGCTCCAGGACTCAAACCATGGTCACTACATGGAAGTCTGGCGATGTAGCCATTACACCATCTGCCGGTCCCTTTATAAAATTCTGGAGGGCACGTACACTTGTCAGACAGAGAAGGAGAGGAACCGAGAGAAAGTGCCCTCCCAATGGGCACAGGAACACTGCAATCCCTCCTCCTCCATTTCCTCACAGTAATCTTGGGTGCCCATGCACACACACTCAGTGCCTTTGAAGTTGCTAGGGCTGCAATCTAAACCAAGGCTGGCCGTGTGGGATCTGGCTCCTTTAACCACTAGGCTCCAGGACCAGTCCCAGTACCCATATATTCAAATGATGCTTCCTGCCCTGTGCTGTGACACTCTGCTGTTAACCCCCACAGTACATTTTGTCATTTGGCAACACGATACTACGATTCTGTGTGATTACTGCAAGCAAGACAATGAGACAGAATTCCCCATTTATGTTGGCATCACCTCTAAGTCCTGAGAGCGTAAGCTTAGTAACTGCAGTTCTCTCACTGTAAGAAGCTGAGGTGAGGTCCAGCCACATATTGCTAAGATACTGGGACTGCGTGGGAAGCCAGGTTCATAATCCACGTCCTACAGTCACATGCAGTGGTGTGCATCTATAACCCCTGACTCAGGGAAGCTGCGGTGGGATGTTAGAAACGTTATTCCTCTAGGGCTGGCAGGTGGCGTGGTGCTTAAAGGTGCTGGACTCCCACATGGCTGATCACGGTTCGAGTCCTGGACCTGGTGGCTTGCTTTCTCACAATCCCTGTCTCTCTGTCTGATCAAACCGAAATAATAATAATAATAAAGTTAATAAAGTAATTTAAAAAGAATTAATTTTATTCACTGTCATTATTTCATTTTATATATATTTTTTTTTTTTGGAGAGGTTTTTGCTATAGGGCGCGTGCGCTCGCCAGATAGACAGAGAGAGACAGAGAGACAGAAAGCAGGAAATCACCCCCCAGGGGGGATGGCCACGCCGCAATCCCTTCTCCTCCATTCTCCTCTCGGGATCTTGGGCACGCACGCACACGTGCCCGGCGTGAGTTTAAGCCACCGGGTCCGGGACTCGAACCGCGGTTGACCACGTGGGAGTCCAGCGACATAGCCATTACGCTAACTGCTGGTCCCCTCATTTTATATTTTTGAAGTTGACCAGAGAGAGGGAAAGTGAGAAAGCAAGCTGCCAGGTCCAAGACTCAAACCACAGCCAACCATGTGGACTTCCAGTCTTAACACCACACCACCTGCCAGCCCGTAAGATAATTCTTGGGGGGGAGGGGTTATTTAAGAATTAATTTTATTTATTCATTCACTTATTGTTTTAATTTGAGCACAGAGAGAGAGAAAAAGCAAGCCACCAGGTCCAGGATTTGAACTGTGGTCTGTCACGTGGGAGTGTCCAACACCTTAACCACCACACCGCCTGCTGGTCCCCAGAACCGTTATTCTTCAAAGAGAAGAAAGGCTGTACAATAGTCACTACCTCTCTATCTGTGCGGCCGCTAAGGTTCCTCCAAATCAAGGTAGCATCTCACGGTCATTTAACAATCACATCACCAAGCGCTGCTGTCACAAGCAAAAGATAAAGCAGTCTGACGGGCCTGCCTGCCGTACTCTCGTACTCTCGGAAAGAACGGAAGCCCTCAGCACTGAAGGAAGCCGAGCTTGGAGAAGTGCGTGCTAAATTAAAACTATTCCCCGTAGTCCCATTCTCGGCCCCTATGTCTTCCACTTTCACACTCACCACGGGTAACAGTATGGACTCCCAGTTTCAACTACTACATGAGTTCTGATAACTCCCAAGTCTCCACCTCTGACTTCTCCCCAAGTGTCAAATATTCAGCTCTGTACTGGCCCATACCCCTTGCTCATCCGCTCTAGTTCATCTCCCCTACAGACCCACTCTTCTTCCCGTATTGCTCAATTCAGTTGCCGGCCTGTTTAGTCACCCAATTCAAAATTGTGGGTGTTCCTTGTGCTCACCTGTGCCCCAGGCCCCACAGCCATCTCCCACCTGACCCCACACAACAGCCTCTTCACTAATGTCCCTGCAGCCAATCCTACTTTCCTCAGCGCTGTTACTCCACCTCCTTCATTAAGCAAATACATGGAACACCTCCTTGGTGCCAGGCACGATTCTAGGAATTTGCCATAAACTAGACCAAACCCTGCCGTGGAGAAAGTACATGCTCTAGTCTGAGGTCAACCAAACAAAACAAATCTGCTCTCATCACTTTCCTGCATTAAAATCCTTAATTCCCCTAATCATATACTGCAAAAGCGAAGATCCCAGAGCCCACTGGCCCGCACAGGCCTGAGAACCAACCAGGTAGGCCTGAACGCCAAGGCTGCCCTCCTAACCTGAGGCATGCTACCTACCCGACCTGTGCCTGGTTTCCCTCCTGGCTGAGGTGAGGACAGCGGTGACTTCCTCTCAGAGCTGTTCAACAGGCTGGACATGATGAAGTGCCCACAGTACCTGGCACTGGCAGGAGCTCAGAGGCCTGGCACCCGAGACCTCGTCATTTGTCTCCCTGACTGCCACACTAACACGCCACAAAACTCTACATTCCAATAGCTAGTCACAGTTCCCAATTCCACAGCGAGCGCGTGCACATGTACACACACTCACACACACACTTTCTCTCTCTCCTGCTACTTCCTGTCACCAGCTCCTGCCTATGCCATCTGTGATGGGCCTAACTCTTACTTCCCTGTCAAGATTCAGCTCAGAAAGCACCTTCCTCCAGGAAGCCTTCCCTGACCTCTGCCATGCAGAGCAAAATGTCTCTTTGCAGAGTCCCCATTTTTCTGTTATACACAGCATTATCTTCCAAACCAGCACACTGAGAGTGAAAGCAGAACTATACGTAATTATGCCCAGACAACGGGAGGGCATTAGGATATCTATTTACCATTTATACATCTAAGATAATCCTTAGAATGGCGGTAGTAAAATACTGCTCTTGTGTGGACCCTCCCTACCCCTAGACCACAAGCTCCTCCTGGGCAACTCTTACCCATTTTTGTATTCCAGGAACCTGAGACCAAGATAGGCAGTGCTGCCTTCAGCAAACCCACAATAAACCTTTGTGTAAGCTACTAATGTTCGCTGCCACAAGGTATCGTTTCTTTGGCACTAATTAAGTGTGAGCAGAGCTAGTATGTTTTTTTTTTTTTTTTTTAAAGAAGCGTGACTCTTAAAAAATAGCTACCAATTTAAAACCCTGTCAGGAAGAGCAAGAGAATCTCAAACAGAGGAAACAGAGTCTCTAAAGGGAAGTTACATCAAAAGATACAAAGTACTCACTTTTATTAAAGCTGTACACGCCTCCAGCTTTCAGTAGGAGAACAATTCAGCAGTGTTCTATGCCTAGTCTGTCTTTCCAGACTGTACATTTTTTAAAGAGAAAGAAAAAAGTATCTCTTCTCAGACTTCAAAGGGAAAAAAATGTTTGATGTAAGAATGGTCAGTCATGAATCAAAGTGAAAGATAAAGCGTGCAATGAAGAGTTTCTTAAAGCCAGGGAGAATCCATTTAAGGGCACTCAATTTAAAGGGAAATCCCCTCGGCTATTTCCCCCAAATAAATTGCTCATAACAAACAGGAGGATTTATATTCATACAACCACTTTAAGTCTGTTTCAACCGCCTAGGAAAAACACTGTTACAAAATGTT